TAACCGATTGATTATTTATTGAAAACTGGCTAGCTTCTCTACATGCATATAACCGCTATAACGTGATTAGGTATTTACGACGATTGAAATACCTATAGGTAAATACCTTGAATTCTTTATAAAAAAGAAAAAACGTGAGACAAATTTGTTATAAACGATAGGTAYTATGGTAATAAAATAAATCATATTATATTGTAGCCTAAAAGATTTGCATATTATTTTCGATTGTAAATCAAACATAATATTATTATTACCTGCGATCAAATTGCAATATTTTACGGTGTTATGGTATGATAATAATAATAATATTATTATCTGTCCTCTCCCATCCGTGGCGATTCCGTTGGCTGCACTGTGGTGAGTACGTGAAACGATCTCACTCTTGGATCGTACAGGTAGGTAGGATCAAACAGGTATGGTGAGCAGCAGCTATCAACGTGATACTGCCACGCCACAYCAGATCCAAAACAATAACACTGCCCAGTCAGCCAGAAGGCGATTCTTGCGGCCAATACTTGCGCGAGTGCGGTTGTTCGAGAAAACAGTCGAAAAAATTCGATTTGTTTGTGATTACCGATTTTGTTTCTTGAATGTTTTTCTCTTAAGTGTTATTTATTGTTTATTTTCGTTCTGTTAGTTTAGTTTAATGTATAATACGATAATATAGTGATCGAGTGTGATGCATACCGTTCGAGTCGGCGAGAGCCGCAGGTGACAATATTATATTATACTCTACAGGTGAGTTTGAACAACAAGATTTTTTTTTTGTGTTTTTACGTTGCACGGAATGCTATCTAAAATAATATTAATCGGTTAGATATTACGATATTCTAAGCCTCTTTCAAAATTAAATACATCGCTGCAGTCTGTAAAATGTTGCTTTTAATGTATTGTTCGTAGATATTATAGCTAGGTACACTATTGAAGATGCTGTGTAGGCAAATCCAATCACTGGTAATAGTGATAGCGTAGCTTGGTACTATTGAGATCTCTGAAAATTTATACGACATAAATAATGTCAAGTAAAATTATTAAAAC